AAGCCATCAGAGCAGGAATGTGAGGAGTAGGGAACTGGAGTTGCAGACAGGCTGGCATGTGGCCCAAGCTAAAAAACGAACAACCATGCAGCACAGACAGGCATGTGGCCCAGGCCAGCAAGCAGAGGTTTGATTATGTCTAAAGTGAAGAGTGATTTTGGTAAGGAGTATAGAGAGGGAGGGAGGGGCTTCAGTAAGATGTGAAGTGGCTTTGGCAAAGGGGCAAGGCTAGATGAGGTTGGTCACACACAAATCCAGTGAGGAGTTTTAAGCTTTGAAATCTTGAGTTGCCCAACACCACCCCAAAAGCTGCATGGCTGAGTGAAGAATTAAACAAGTCTTCCCATTCCAACTCCATATCTCTATACCTCAGCACTGCTCTGTGCACGAATTATTGAACCATCCAGACAAGTTTTCCTTACTGAACATGCCATTTTATAATGGTAGCTTGAAATTGGTGTTGAGAGAATGACATTCATGTTGTTGGGGCTCCGTCTTCTGAAATCACCATGCCAAATGCAAGGAATTTCTACTTTTATGCCAAACTGGCATAAACAGCTGTTTAAAGCCAGATTGAGCAGCTTACAGCTAAATAATTTTGTCTCCTGTTTTAGTAGAGCAAATAATATTTAGCGATGGTGCTGAAAACTAAATGTGGAGATGTAACAGAAAATTAGCTGACAGTTCTCAGTGACTGCTATCATGCAGCAAATGTTAAGCCAGTTCTCATGATCATTTCCCCGATGCAACTCTTAATAAATGCAAACCTTAGTTCTAGTAATGACCTTTAGTAATGTGAGCCTTGATCCATTGAGATGCCATTCACTTGTGATGCATCTCCAAATCCCATTTTTATGCATTTTAAATCAACACACGCTTGCTCTGAATTTATGCATGTGCATAGAAGGAGATGTAATTTAAACACATCTGTTCAAATATGCATTTCAGATAAACTTGGTGCTGGTTCTCATAATGTGGCTGAGTTTTTGACGTGTATTATATCCCCAAAGTACACACCAGATGGTATTTATTAGAGATTTAATGGAAATGAAGTTTAAGGATGTTGAGCTTTTGTCTTAAGTCTCTCATTTTAAAGTCATAAAACAGTAATGATCTGAAGTTATAAATCTTTAATGAAGTTTTGTACAGGGTTTCATTTGTATGGCAAGTGTAGACTGTTTAAGGATAAGTAAGCCCAAATGGGGCTCCAAACTGAAATTGTGCCTTCAAAGAAATCACTGATGAAAGTTGGGAGGAAAAAGCATTTAGGCTACTTCTGCTTGCTGAGAAAGCTACCTCTAGAAGCCTCCACTACTGTTACGGAAACAGATAGACGACTCGTTTCACTCAGCATGCAATTAAAGCAGAGGATTCTGTAGATGATAGATAGATAGATAGATAGATAGATAGATAGATAGATAGATAGACAGATAGACAGATGATAGATAGATAGATGATAGATAGACAGACGCCACCATGTCAATAAGCCTAGAAGGAAAAAGCCAAAGGAACTTAGAATATCTCAGTTTATAATCAAATGTCTCAATTGCTGCCTAAATCTGAATTGTCCAGTTATTTCCTCTATTCAAAAACACTCTGCAGAAGAGTCCTTTCTGCCTGTTTTGTAGTATTTATAATGTGTTGATATTTAACATTTATTCATAGGATGGGAAATAAATTCTTCCTACCCCTTGGCATGATATAGATAGGAAATTTACCAAGCATATATGTCAAACATGCTGTGGAAAGTTATCGGATGATGAATTACTTGATAGATAAAGCTTTTAGTGGCTCATTCAAATAACACACAGTACGACTTGTTTCTGGAAGGGGCAGCTCAGTACTTCAGGCGGATAGGTTAATGAAAATGTTCATAGTCAGGATGCTGAAAATCTGAGAGTAATGGTGATTAAAACAAAGATTTCCCATTGAAGGTTGTGCTTGAATGGTTGTATATTTGCAGTAGCCCACTTCTCTTTAAATCTTGGACTGCTGCAAATTTTGCTTCTTCTGTTTCCGAGTTCAGCCAGTGTGTGTCAAAGGTTACGTCTGATGGGAGCGAGTAGCCAAGAGCTTAGATGAGGAAGTCTTCTTTCTGGGTATTAGGTGGTAGTAGCGTGCCACAAGAGTTAAAAGGAGAAGAGATGAAAAGCCGTGACAAAACACTGATTTGTGGAGTGGGTGGGCACCTCTCAGACCCCAAGCTCTAGTTACTGTGACCTAATGTGTCTAGGAAAGCATTGCCATCGCTTGTTCTTCCCTCTGGTATATGAAGCAATGGAAACAAATTGCATTTTTTAAAAGCCTGAAAGACGTATTTGCATTTTAAAATATTCACTGTTTGTAGAGTGTTGCAGTGTGTTGCCATTACAGACTTTTAAAGGGAAATGCAACAGTGAAAAGTCATTTTGTACTTCGGTGCAACTAGAGCACAAAGGAAAGTGCCTGACAGAGTAGGCTGCAGTAATATATCAGCTGCTTATAGAATACATTTTACAATATATGAAACAATGTAATTGTTCTGCACCGGGAGCATGTACATGAATAAAAGATGTTAGCAGGTGTCCTGCCTGTGAGGAGTCTCCTGCTGATGTATTTATTGGAAGTATGAACATCATCAACAGATTTGTGTTTGTTAAAAGTAATCCAAACAGAAGGCTTAAATAATGAACTTAGAACACACAATAACTGGCATTTTAAAAAGGAACTTCCTTAAACTGGGTGGTATTCAGCTATGTTTTACTCACAGTAGACACATTTCAATTACAGAGCAAGGATAAGTTAGGTCCATTTATTTCGGTAGTTTTATTCTAGTAAAACTTCCTTGAATACCGCATACTGAATTTATATTTTTTGTTTTTCAGTATGGATCCGAATGATTTTATTTTCTGCTACTACAAAGTGTTTTATGACACTGTTATACTGGCCAGAGGTAGCTTTCATGTAGGCTTTTCTTAAAGATGTGTCAGGCCCTGGTTTCTAAACATCTGTTTGTGCTTTTTTCATTTACTTGTATACTACATGGCAGAATAGGAATATATAGATAGTTTTTGGTGTAGATGTTTGATTTATACCCTCAGATAGTTAGCAAATGAAAGGGTGACACTCAATGCATATTTGTATCCTTTCACCAAGAATCATTTTCTGAATGCTTCCTCCATCCCAGATGGTAAAGCTTAGGACCATTCATATGAATGGAAGCAATACTAAAGATACCCTGGTCCCATGCAGGTTAGGGTTTTAGAGGTGAGAACCAGCCACTTCCGTTTGGGCAAGATCTTATAGAGCGTGCAAGATTTCATGCAATTTTGGGTGGGTTCTCACCCAAAAGTGAGGGAGGAAGCTAGGCTACAACATTTCCTTGACAGACTGATTTCTATTTGAACAGGTTGTTTTTATAAGGATGAGCATTTGGTCATTCAATATTATTATTGCAATCTGAAGTTATGCAGCTCAGACATAGGTCTGCTGGCAGATTCTTTTTTTGCACAGTGCTTTTTTTGCATTTGGTTTAGGAATAGGTGCTCAATATGAACATACTGGAAATATTTTCAGACCCCTTGTTTTAAGCTTGCAAATTAGAATGCAATACCCCAACAGGTCCTTATTTTTTCTGAGGGGAAAAAATATTTTTTTTCTGAGAAAAAATAATAATAAATCATAATTTTAAAAATTGGTCAAGAAAAAAGAGGATGTTGGAGTAATTTTCTTTTTTCTTTTTTGAATTACTGACTTTTTACATCTTTTTTACTTTTAAAATGTGTTTGTGTTATTGTCTATAAGAACCATAGGGATCTTATGATTTAGGTCAGGCCTGCTACTCTTCTTTATCCAAGTTTTCATTTTGTTTGGAAAGAAACATTTAGGGAGGGAAATGCATTAGTTTTTAATTTCCATATTAGCACCAAAATTATTCCATGTCAATCAGAGAGGGTTTTTGGTTTTTTTCTTGGATGGAACACATGTCATGGACATTTCACTGAATCTAGCATGACTGAAACTTACCATTCACGTTCCCATAGAAACTGCATCCACATGCAGTGGATGTCATTACCAATGCTGTAGGTATCACATGCTTTAGCTAATGCCAGCTGTGTCATTAAAATGACTGGTATAACTAAACTGTAACTGCTTTTTGTCAAATATAATGTGCATCTTATTAATCTTCGAGATGTCAGACAGTGCTACTTGCCATTCATTTGTAGAGTCGTATAGCTTGCCTCATTTAAGCCTGTCAGAGCTGCAAATCTTTCCCATGTGAAGCAAGGACAGAATTCAGAATGTTTCTGTATTATAATTTTGGAGTACATATTTATGCAAATCCTGGAAGAGCTCAAAAATATGCTCAGTATATGTCAGTGTACATTCTTGGATGTGCTGACATTGCACAATTACCACATCCCCTTGGTAGTCCACACCCCATACCCTAGAAGGGGAATATTCCAGAATTCAGCATACCATCCACACAAATGGCTTACCATCAACAGCATGGGTTAGAAAAGTCCCATTCTCTTCCAGTGTGCTTCCAATGAGTCTGGCTAGCCTGGAAGCCCTGGAAATTGCTGTGGAGAAATGCCCTGAAGTATTGTAGTCTAGCTGGTCATTTGCTTTCAAAAATGATACCTTCCTAACCTCGTCCTTGGTCTCTGGGCAGACATCTATGTTGCAAATATAAAATGGTTTAACTGTTACGGCTTCCCTGAAAGAACCCTGAGTATTTTAGTTTTTTGTATCATGCCGAGAATGATCTCTTAGAAATTCTAAGCTTCCTTGCAGAACTAAAATTTATGGGTGTATTGGAGAGAAACCATGACAGTTAAGCTAGTTGAATTTTGTAGTTTGGGCTTTTCCTTATATAAAGCTATATTTAATGGTTGTCAGTTTCCATAGGTAAATGCTTTGTATGTTATGCAACACGCTAAATGCCTAATATTTTGCTAGGGGAAGAAGCTAATATGTCCAGTCTTCAGCTTAACACTTCTTGTTTTCATTCGTTTCAGAGTGCCTGGAATAACAATTGCCACAGACATCATTTGTGGGTTTCCAGGGGAAACAGATGAAGATTTTCAAGAAACCATGAAGCTTGTAGAAGAGTACAAGTTTCCAAGTCTTTTTATTAACCAGTTTTACCCACGCCCTGGGACTCCTGCTGCAAAAATGCATCAAGTTCCAGCCCAAGTAGTAAGTGATCTCTCTCCCTCCTCCCCATCTTTAAAGGAGAGCTCATCTTATGTGAGATGTTAAGATGTGTATATTTGGGTCAGTAGATACCAGGAATTTTTAAAAATTATTATTATTATTATTATTTTACTTAGGAGTTTCATTTTTGCAGGAGATTGAGGAAGTGATTAGAGTTTAGTTTCATTAGTTTCATTGGCCTCATTCAATTCAAACTTTCGTTAATGCCAGCCATCATCCAGTTTCAGTGAGTATGTTTTCTAATCATTTAATTTCATATTAAAACAAGTTAACACAATCATACACACGAAAAGGTAGAGATTTACACAGAGAAATAAGGAAATTGAAAGGAGGTGGCAAAGTTATGTTGTGTGAATAGAGTTCCACTTGCACAATTTTGGGTCTCATTTTGCCTCTTTCTAAACTGTGTTTCTGGTAAGAATCTAATAATTATAAAGAGACTGTAGATATACTTCCCACACCCACACACCTTTTCTACATTTCTGCAGATTTGTTAGACCAATACTTTCATACATGTCCACTATAATCCTTTGCTAGATATAATAAGTCAAATTATATTAATCTTAGTATATATCAAAGGTCAGATTTGCATGTTTCATTCTTCTGATCTGTGGAGGCCTGCTTCATAAATATCCACCATGATCGCATAGCATTGTAAAATAGTACATCACCTTTCAAGCTCTACAGTAAAATCTATTAGGAATTTTGCAAATAGTGTTTATAACTTTGGGGCTTTCAGAAACGTGCTTATATCTGGTCAGAAAATTATGCAACCACTTTGTGTTTATCAACCTTGTTGCTCATTCCTCTGGGTTCCTTTTAATGTGGGAAGTAATTTAGTTGAACAAGATGGCATCAACTCTATTTTAATTCATACAGAGAGGAGTTTGTGGGTTGCTGTTTTTTTAAATTGCTTTTGGTCCCAAAGCTTTCAAAGCTAAAAACGATAGTGTCAGTTAATATTAATGTGCATTCTTTTAGTGAGTTTAATTTGTGTTTCATCCATCCAGGGACAGTCTTTCACAAAAATGAGAAAAAGTTGGCTTATTAACCCGTAGTATTTGGTATATAGCATGAAAGTTGTCTTAGACCACCCCTGTGAACTTGAGGCACTATCACATAATCTCAGTGGCATAATAGACTGGTAGTAAATGTTCTGTGATGATGGGAACTCTGCTCTCTAACAATCCCTTAACTGAAATTAATCCATTTTCTGGCTCCAGTCCATCACAGAGTAGCTGGGGCTGTGTGTACATAAGCCTTTTTAAAAGCTGAATTTCTGCAAATCAGCTGTTTGGTAAGAGGAACAGGCTGCTTGAAGGACAGTTCAAACGTGTTATTAGTGAGATTTCAGCTTTTAAAAGTTTTCTATGTACATGCAGCCCCAGCTGCTGGATTTATTTCAGAAATCATGTATATTGCACCCATTTGAACCTGTTGGCCTCTATCCAGATATACTCACGGAAGCCCGCTTCCACGCATGTCAGTGAAATCAGGACATGAGGACATTGTCTTTATACAGTTGGCACAGAATCTATCCCTGCAAGTTCCAGATTCCCACCTTGACGCCAGTTTGTGCCCCACGGGGTTTGAAAGAGGGTATCTGGCATCAGGTTAGCACAGGGTTCTGCGGAGGCCTTACTTCTAAAAGCCAATCAGCTGCTATAAATACAGGACCACCTTGCAGCTGCAGTATGGCTGTCACCAACATACCTGCTCGCCCACCTTCATTTTATTCTTAATTTGAAGTTATGTTGGTGTACACAGCTGTGTACTGAGGCTTGCTGCAAGGAGGAAATTTATCTAAAGGTATAATTAGGCCTGGCTCTGGGCAGATTTTGCCTTCCTCCCAGCAGTTGTCGAGAACCTGTCACAAGCTCGTCGCAAGTGGGAGAGGAACTTGGCAGCATCCATGGTGGAGTTAAGTGGGAGATGGGCATCCTGAGGGAATGTTTTGGGGTGCTGCTTGCTGCCCACACCCTCAATTTGGCTAGCTGGTAGGCTGCCATACTCTGAAGTTGCCTGGGGTGCCATGGTGGGCCCATAGGCTGGAACTGGGACATTGGCAAGTATAGTTTAGCTGCCCAGTGATGGTATCCTCAGCCTACCCTACACTAAACTGTGTGCACTGTAACCAGTGAAGTTGTGGACATTTTAAACACACATAATCCTCTGCGTTGTTTCTTGCTGTCACTCACGCACATGTTTCAAAAAGTTGGTTAACAGTAATCAGTGTAAACTTACAGTAGGATTGCCACAGTCAATTCATTCATTGCATTAATCACAACATAGATACAGCAGCAATAAAAAACTTGGTGGGAAAGTTCTGATTTCCACAACATGAAACTATTAAAAATGAGCTTTCCAACCTGAGCACTAATATGTGAATGAAGCGCATTTTTTATTTGCAGTCAAATAGTGCTAGGAATAAAAATAGGTTTCCTACGGCTTCATCCAACATGTAATAATTTTGTTTTTCAGTTCTATAATGCTACGTTTCCTTGTTTTTCTACAGAAAAAACAGAGAACGAAAGAACTGTCAAGATTGTTTCACTCGTACAACCCATATGATCACAAGGTAAAAATAAATTGCAGATTTTTTTTGTCAGTAATACTACTCTGCTAATGATGATGGTATACACACCCTTTAAGCTACTAAAGGATGTACAACCAGTTCAACCCCTGTGGTGACCTTGGGGGGTGGTTCTTGTTGCTTGGGGACATGGTACTGCTAGGATCAGTCTTTGAGGATAGAGCTACGTACCTACTGTGTAAAACAAACAAACCACCCTTTACCTTTGGTTGGACTTTAGGGCTATCCTGTTTACCTGGACCAGCCAGTCATTGACTCTGATGAATCATTTTACCTACTTGTATGAATAAAACACGACTGACACTCTGTTAGGACCACCTATGGGTTTTCCCTTTCCTCCCATTCCTTGGTGTAGTTTAATTTGAATTAGGTCATTAGAGATCAATGGGGTCTTGATACATTTTGCTCTGCACATTTTCAGACCAACAGCAGTGGATCTTATGTCAATCAGCACCATTCTGAGAAGGTTATTTTCTTTTATACTCCTCTAGCTAGGATTTGTACCCTTTGGTGAAGTTTCCATGGGGAGGCCTTTTGCATTCCTCCTCTGCACCAGCCATAATTGAACAGCTGTGTGTTGGAATAATTCAAGCACTTGGCTTTCTTTATGTGTCTAAAACTGATTCTCAGACTGTAAAATGTGGGTGTTAACCCACTGTAATGAATGCATCTACTGCTTTATGGGGAATCCATTTCCAGCACAGATCCTTCCCATTCTCTCTAACAGTGTATTTGGGCAGTCACATCATCCTGAGTGGAGGGAATAATGGCACACCCTACACTACTGTTCACAACTGCAGAAGAATCTCAGAAATCATGGTTACCTGTCCATCAACATTGTCTTGAATAGGCAAAAGCAAGAACATGGTTCAAGGTAGCTAGCGGTAGCCATCTGGAAAACAGATAACAATACGGCCCTGTCAGGTAGCAATGACATGTTTATCACAGTTTTGGTAATTCAGGTTTTTAAATGAATTTGATAAGGAGGACAGTCATCAGTCTAGGATGGTTCCTCCCACTGGCTGGTCATGTACTGTGGTTTCTCACTGGGCTCCCTATGAACCCAGTGTGCTAGAGCCCTACCTTGTTTCCCCCTTTCTTTTCTCTTTTCTCACCTTTGTTGCTCTTCTGTGGTTTCTTTCCCTCCCCTCCCTTCTCTACCCACCCTCTACAGCAGAGCTTTCCGTACTTTACATGCTGGTGACACACTTTTTAGACATGCGTCATTTTGCGACACAATAATTCAGTTTTACTAGCAAATCGGAGGTTAAACTAACCCCTTTCCAGTCCCGGGAGGAGCATTGGGAGCGTTCGTGCGACACGCCTACACACTGCAGCCAACACACTAACATGTTGCGACACACAGTTTGGAAAGCTGTGTTCCACAGTTTTAGTGGCTGGCTGGCTGGAGGGAGAATTGGAGGCTGCTTTGTGGTGTGCAGGAAGGCCTTATCCTATAGCCACACCTCGACCATGGTGGGCCAGCCATCAGAGAGTGAGACCTCCCCCCATCTGTTCCTTTTAATTGTTGGCTTGTAGATTTTTACATTTCGAGCTAATAATTAAATGTGTTATGACTGCTGGCTTATTAATTTTGTAGGAGGAGGTTTTAGAAGTTTTAATTTGTTTTATTATTAATACTGTCTTCTGGAATTTTGGGTAAATAAATCTCCTTGAAAGAGAAGGACACACAAAAAGAGAGGCATATGTAAAATGATATATAAGCAGTAATTGTGCTTATATAGGTGTAATTGTGTAATATATAGGTGTAAAGGTGTAATTGTGAAATGTTTTTAGCTAGTGTTCTTTTTTTGCTGTGCAATCATAGGCATCATGCTTCAAATGGTAAAGCTTGTATAAATTGATTAATGGTTTTTTAAAAAAAGATTGACAACTATGAGTTCTGAAGGGAGTTTTGTGATATGGAACTGTTGAAGTTAAATGTAATAGTAGATCAATTAAGATATAATAAAGAGAATCAACTGAAGAGGCAAAGCTTTGATATTTTCCCCCTTGTCTAAATTCCCTGGTGGCACAGGGTTTTTTTTCTCCATTCACAGTACAAGAAAATTCCATTATTCTTTTATTAGCACTCTTATTGGAACTGGGCCATTTGTAACCTCTGTTGCCTCCTTGCACATATCCTTTGTGGCGCTATATCAAAGTCTCCTCAACTGTTTTTGACTTCAGTTGTGAGTTTATGCACTTATTTTACTAATGACTCATCAGGAGGTGTGGAAAAAGAATATGAATTCTTAAGACTTGTTCTTTTGATCTCTGTTTTAGGGCCTTTTATAAATAACAAAACTTACAGAATCAAGTGGCAAATAGTTTTTTCAAGATCACAGGCTTGTGTAAGGGTTTGTTGGGAGGAATGGAGGTAGAAAAATAAGAGAAGTTCACCGAGATGAAAAGGCTGTGTTCTAATGTCCCAAATCATCTCAACTCAATACAGTACACTGTACGTTTATATCTTGCTGTGTGTCCACCTGAAACACTCCATTTTCCTTTTGTCATTCTGCATTCCAGCTCCCGCTCCCCTACAAAGCAGCTTCAATATACCAACCCTCTGCTATTGTTTTTTAGCTTAAACATTTGCTGTAACCTAATCATGTTCACATCACATCAAATTTTTTAGGTTACAGTTTCTGTAATTCAATACATTGATGCAGCTGCCTTGTGGCAGCCTAGCAAGTTAATTTACTTCACATATTTTTAGCTCCTAATATTTTCCACAGATTCCATTTTTAAAGTGTAGTTTCTTACATTTCTTGGAAGTAAGCTAGTTACAGTGACTTTAGCGGAGCTTATTTCCACATCATGGCTATAATCCAACAAAATCCTAATCTTTGAAGGGAGGGTGTGCCTTTCTCTCCTTGCTTTCCCTAGCACAATTTCAAACTGCTTTTAGTATAGTTTATTTGTGGTTTTGGTTGGTGAGGCTACTGAGTTAGAAAGGACATCAAAACCCCGGGTGTGCTCGCAAGACTCTGAATTAGAGCCAAAGTGTTTTGGACAGTGCTAGAAATATTTCCGCATGCAATACCAACCATAAGATGTAATAATTGCATAGTATATGTATATCCTCATAGCTGCAGGGTATTTCCCTGTTTGCATTTAGAGATTTGTCTCTTGGGAGTTTCCGTAGTCCGGTACGTAGGACTTCCATTCCCACTATGTTCAGGGAGAGAGAGAGAGGAGTAGAAAACCATTGAGAAAGCTGGAGGAATGGAGTGGCTATAGAAAGGCAGAGGCTGTGTTTCAAATTCTGTCTAGTCTGTTATCCTTACCAAAGACACCCCAGGGAAATATTATTGTTATCCATGTGGATAACAGTGCATACCAAAAGTGGGGAAGAGAAATGTCCAAGGAATTTCTGCACCTGTTTGTCATAGATCATATATCCTTAGGAGCAAACGCCTTCTTGATAGCAGCCCCCAGACTTTGGAACTACTTGCCATCGCTGACAGCCTTCTGCTAGCAGACAAAAACATTTTTAGGCAGACATTTGGCTGCTAGGCGTTGGTTTTTACTGGTGGTTGTGTTACCGTTTTACCTATCTTCTTTCCATGTTTTTACTTTGTACCAAATTGTGTTTATTATATTTCATTGCATTTGCATAGTTAGCTGCTTTGAGCATTGGGTGGAAAGGAGGAGTGTAAATTTAACAAATAATAATAATCATAGGCCCTTATTTTTAGTAATGGCTCAGGATTAGGACGGTGGGAAGCTGTCTCTTCACTGACCGTGGAGCTTCTTTGTTATTTTTTGTGACATCTGAAAGCACTTGATGGGTGATAGACATTTTCCTCTCCTATTTTTTGGTCTCTGGCTTTGTAAATAGTTTTGTGATTTTGCTTTTGTGATTCTTGTGGTATATCTTTATTGTTAAGAGTTCAGAGGATGTTCTTCGGGGGCACAGTGGTTGTCTTAAAACAAACAAAAAAAGGCAGAGGTTAACTCAAGCTCCAGGAGCCTGTTGAAAACCCTGTAGAGAAACAGATGTCATAGCTGACAATTGACTAAAACTGATGAGACTTCTTTCAGCATTTTTGAAGTATTTCTGCATGATGTGGAATAGTTCTAAATTGAGAATTTTCTTCAGCTGATTGATTGGAGAAGTAGGGAGGCTGAGGATCTAAAACAAGATATATTTCATTTAAGCTACAAAGGCTCTGATCAGATTTTCCCTACTTATAAAACCAATATTGGGTTTAAGATAGTATTTCATTGTTTCATTAGCCTGAGAGCATTATATTCATTTCTCTCCTTGGTCTTTCTAGCATATAATATGAATAAGGATCCTTCACCAGGGAACTAATGTCAGTTTCCATGAAACTGACCAAGGTAAAGGCACTCCTTAAGATGGACGTGACCCATGTTATTATTGGCATCTGTCTTGTCTCGAGAGACAGTGGAGTGTGCCACCGAAGGTGAAGTCAAACCACTGCATTAGCAGCACTAAAGTGACCTCTCCGGGGTGCAGGGCTGGGCAGTGTGTATGGAGGTCCCGGGCTGCCCAGTCAACAAGACCTTTCTCTTGGCCTTACTGATATGGTCCATAGAAAAGCAGAGCAGTATGTTTGGCACCAGCTTGGCTGCAGGAAGGAGGTGTACAAGGTGCCATCCAACCATCTTAGAGACTCCATATTTGTGTAGGGTTTACTCCTTAGCCTTTTCTTCTCCCAAAGATATCCTACAAGGCAGTGGAGGTTTAAGATAAGAGTTTTCCTTCTTCTACATGAGCTACCTTCCCAGGTTGATAAGTCCCATCTGCCCCTCACTTTCCTCTACAGCACATGCAAGAACCACCTTCCTGGTCACAGGGCCCACTATTGGTCTTATCTGCTCAGACCCACTGGCTACCTGACGTCCCATACATCCCTGAACATTACCCAGACTATACAGAATTGTGTACCCAAGCACATCGCTTTCCACCTCACCTTCGGCATTATGATTCCTTTCAGATGCAGTCCAGCATTATC